TTGAGGATGGAAAGTGAGGCAAACAGGATGAAGAGGAGTTCAAGACGTAGACATGCCCACTTCACATGACTTGATGCCTTTGGCCACACCTCCTGAGCACACTAAATAGTCAAACAGCCAAGCTTTCCCCGCAGGGAAGCGAGAGGAACCAGACGGCGCAACCAGGCTGCCACGCAACCTGGCAACAATGCCCGAGTCCTCCAGCAAGGGTGGCTCAATCTGGCGGTCGGCTCCACACACGAAAGGACTCTCGTGCATGGCCAGAAACGTACCCAAACGAGATAAACAAGTCGCGACTTCGATCTGATAACTCTTCAGAGCGGAACAAATACGAGGAGGCAACAAGGAAGGAGGGGCAGCCAGGGAGGTTAGTCTAACCAGCAAAACATTTTCCCTCGGCAGCATTCCCTCCCTGCACATCCATGCGACCAAGCCGCGCACGGGCAAACATCTCAACACCAGCAGGAGTGTCCCCAGCTTCAGTGGGCTGAGCTTCTGACCAGACAGACTTCCAACCTCGCTTGATGCACCAACCACTTCAATGTCCGATCCTCGCAAACGGTATTCCTGACACAGAATCACGTGGGCCTCTAGGTCACCCTCGAGTGAATCCTTCATGGTGCCCCAGGAGTTGCAGTTGATGGTCCGAATGTTCAGCTCAACCTCGTTCGGATCTGGATTCTGAGACATCAGCCGCCAAAACAGAGGACGGCTGAGTCAGAGAGACAGCCAGCACAGCAGAGAAACGGGGCCTGTCTCGGTGCAGCCCCGGCACAAGACCGAATCGAAAAAAGGGTTCTGAGACCTAACATCCCGAGTGAATTGAGACATTTGTGGGGACTGGGGACCTGGGAGAGGGGGCCCCAACAACTTCGCTTCCCTAAGGCTCTCCCACAAGATCGAAGAGTTGCCTCCGCTGAGGGCTGCGAACCTGGAAATAGGATCGGCCAGTGGCAGCTCAAAGCACGACACAGAGTGCAGGCTCGCATTGCCATCCTTGTCGCAGAGAGTCAGGACAGGGTACAGCAGCGCAGGCAGCGAGAAATCGATCGGGGCCGAACTGCTGAGACGAGAGTGTCTGGTCGACGAATTACCCCTAGGAGCGGCCCTTCGCCGGAGTGGCCTTTGGTGTGCGGGCCCACTGACTTTTCCGAGACGTTGGGGGTCTGGGGGGAGCGGCAGGTCCAGCCTGCCCCGCCTGTGTTCTGCCACGGGGCGGGCCGACGCGCCGCTCGGAGTCGCACCCCGGTGGGCGGGAGCCTCCCTTGGCCGCCTCTCGTGGCGGGCTGGAGGCGCAGGGCGGATGCCGATCATCTCTTGAGGGTTGTATAGCTGGTCAAGGGGAGGGGACCGTACCCCTACCGCTGCCTTTGGCTCGTTTTCCCCTCTTTCGGCCTCCTGGGAGGCCCTCGTGGCCGCCGCTGGATTCGCTCCGAAGTCCTGGCCAGAGCGCGCCTCAGGAGAGGTCCAGGGAGCAGCGGCATCGGTATCGGTACCTCTTGGTTTCCCCATTTGGACCCCAGATTCCGATGCATTCTGGGCGTCTTCCCATTGTGTAGAGGTCTGGTGGCTGTCCCCGTTCCCTCCGTCTGCACGGGACCGGCGGCGATCCAATCTACTTCCACGCCCTGCTACGGGCAGGAGCTCTGGCCCAGCGTGCCGCTCCGCCAGTTCTGGCCCACCACGCCTCGACGCGACGCGCCATCTACTTCCCGCCCCCCTGGCGTTAATGTCCCGAGCTTTTCCCGGCCTCCCTGCCCGCGGAGTGGAGCGACACGCTATCTGCTCGCATGGCGTAGCGTGTCGCCGGGGCCATCGCCGCGACACTATGCTACGCGCAACAGTTGCCGACCGTACTTCCTGCTTGTGCCCACTTCTTCCCGCCGATGGGCAGCAGCACCTCGCTCCTCCTCCTCCTCCTTCCCCCTCCCAGAGAGGAGGAGCGCAGGCATAGGAGGGGGCAGGGAGGATTGCGAGGCGGGCCTGTACAGTTGGTCGTCTTCTGCGCTTGCAGGGTGTGCCCTGGGCTGGAGCCCTCGGGGAGGGCACTGCACTTTTTCGTATTCGGCAGGGCATGCGGAGGGCAGCCCGTGCTTGAGCCCCTCGAGGGCGAGGCTGGCGACGAGCGTGATGAAGGTGACGGGACGGGGACGGTCAGAGTGTGGTTGGGGATGGGGATGACAGCGGTGATGGGTTATGGGTGGTGGTGGTGGTGGTGGTGTTGGTGAGAGTGTGCCAGGGAGCTGGGTACCTCTGACACGGTGGGCCTGGGCGAGAGCTGTCTGCACCCGTGGCCGGTCTGTCGAGCGCTCGGTGTGGCCAGGCACGGCTGCGCTCCGCAGCTGCACCCCGCGCGTGGTCTCCAGGTGCTCCCCGTGTCCAGCCGTGAGCGTCTCCGGTCTCTCGGTAGGCGATGGCCAGGGTGAAGGTGAGGATGCATGTGGCAGTGCGGATGAGGGGGCGAGGACAAGGGGAAGGATGGAAGTTCTGACTGTGGCAGTGAGGGTGCAGATGAGATTGAGGACGAGGATGGCCGAGGGCGATCAGGATGGGGGTGAGAGGGAGGGGAGAATGTGGGACAGAACAGAACGAAGTGGTGTGGCGGTCACAAATACTTGCTGCGTTGGCGGGTGGTGGTCGCAGATTGTCGCAGACACACTCTGGGCCTTTGCGGGTTCAGGGGCGGAATAACTGCCCGAATTTCCGCCCCCCTCTTCTGCCCCGAAAGTGCGGTGACGTTTACTCGGCCGGTTGCGATCGGCGCTGGGTGGGTGTTAACAAATTGGCCCCCCCCCTCGGTCGGTCGGCGGCCGGTCGCTCTGCACGGGAGGCGGGGAGGGGCTGCAGCGCCTTCGCACCGCTGGCACTGCGACAAAAAAAAAAGACCCGCCCCCCCACACCTGTTCGTCCCGAAGTTGGCTGTCGCATTCAGTCTCGTAATGGTTCGATTCCCGAGTGCCCCACGCAGCCTTTCGGTTGCAAGTGACCGCACTCCGCTTCCCTCGTGGTTTCGGGGTGCGCCCCGGAAGATCCCCAGACCAGCATGGCTGGGTGCCTGGACCCATAAATCCAAAGTGGTTCGAGACGTGCCCAGACCCACCTCCGTTCATTCAGGGGCTGGGCTGGGGTTGGACCTTGGGTTTGGGCCAGGGCCTGACCGGTGCCATTTGAAGGGCACGGCCGGCGTGGAGTGGAAGCATTGTGTGCGGCACGTGTGTTGGGCATGTGATCGAATCGTGTCGGGAATGCGCACACACTCATCGCGCAATCGTGAAAAAGATTTGGATGGGTGGGTGGGGCGTGCAGCATGCATTGTATTTGTGTGAGACCCCAGCGGGACAGGCGAGTCCCCAACATGATGGTCAACACCCCAAAGGGTACGGCACCCTGGAACGTCAGACCCCAACGAAAGCTTTTGGTTGCTTGAAAACTTCTTACTAGGTTCTTACTAGCTTCTTTTGCGATTTATAGAAGCCCTTCGGGGACGCCTACGGCGAGTTACCGCTGCCCCCTGCCTTTTGGAACGCTTGTACCATGAAGCGTCGGCCGAAAGTAAGGCCACAGACACAGACACAGACACATACACAGACAGACGCACACCCACACCAACACCAACACCCGGCACCAACACCAACACCAACACCAACACCAACATCAACATCAACATCAACGCCAACACCAACACCAACACCCACACCAACACCAACGCCAATACCAGCACCAACACCATCACCAACGCCCGCGCCAGCGCCAACACCAACACCACAGCCCGAACCCAACACCAACACCAACACCAACACCAACACCAACGCCAACGCCAACGCCAAAGCCAACGCCAACGCCAACACCCACACCAACACCACACACCAACACCAACACCAACGCCAACACCAACACTAACGCCAGCGCCAACGCCAACACCAACGCCAGCACCAACACCACACACCAACACCACACACCAACACCAACACCAACACCAACACCCTCACCAACACCAACACCAACACCAACACCACACACCAACACCAACACCAACGCCAACACCAGCTTCAACACCAACGCCATCACCAACACACCAACGCCAACGTCAACACCACAAACCAACACTACACCACATGCTACGCACCAACACCCCACGCCCACACCAACACCCACACCAACACCAACACCAACACCACCAGCACCACACATATTCACACATGCCTTGCTGTCCAAGCCAGGGGGGCGCCTTCCACGGCGCACTCCACCGCTTCTTGGCCCAGTGTGGGCCAGGCCAGCGGCGGTAGACATGTCTAGGTCTTGTCGCCCTGCGCACGTCCCGCCGCCGCCCTGCCGCCCCGGGGGGGGGGGCCAGCGCGGAGGGTCCCCTCCCTCGCAGGAGTGACCCTTCGCAAGGGTGCCCCGCGATGCGGGGCCCGCTGGGGCCCCCGATCGGTGAGTGCGGCGCGAGAGCAGCGGCCTGCGCAACTGGGTCTGATCCCCTCCTCGCGCGCCCCCCCCCCCCTCGCCCTACCCCCCCCCCCCTGAAGGGGGCGCACCAGAGGTGAGCCATGCGTGGGGCCACTCTTGCGTGCAGCGGGGGGTCGGGCATTGCCAGGGGTGGTCACCACCAGAGGGGGCCACCAGTTCCTCCTGGAAATCGGGGCTCCATGATCGAAGGTCGAGGAGGTTTTTTCGGACGTCGTTGTGGAATGCTCAGGAGTCGGCTTCACCCCATCATACTTCTACTGTCTGTGCGCCGCCTTCACAAGGGGGCGCCGCGCGTGATCGGACATCTCAGTCGTGCATGCTCGGGGGCGGGCGCTTTCTGGCCATGCCGCTGGGGGAACGATGTGCCACGCTATGGTTTTGCACGGCGCGCTCTGGCCGGAGGAGGACACCTCGTGCTCACACGCCCCCTCTGCGTCCCGTGGGGAGGGTCCTCGGGGGCCCACCGCCTCGAGGCAGGGGCGCCTCCTCGAGGAGGTGGCGCCCCCCCCCCCCCCCCCCCCGGGGGCCAGGTTCTCCTGGCGCGCGCCGCGGCGCTGGGCACGCCCCCGTCGGAGGGCAGGCGGCCGCGGCGCCTCCCCGGAGGGCGGGGGGGGAATGGAATGTAATGGAATGGCTAGTGGTCACTAGGACGGTGAAACCAAAGCAGACTTGGCGGGCGGGGGGGGGGGGCAGGGGCGGAGCAGAGGGAGGACGAGGACGGCGGGGGCGCCTTGGTCCGTGGCCCGGGGTCCCCCCCCCTGGCCCACGGGCTCTCGGAGCGCGGCCGCGCCCGCCGCGCGCCGCCGTCGGCCACGTCCACAGACGCAGGGCCGCACGAGAGGTGGCGATGCAGCGGAGGGAGGTGATGACTGGGGGGGGGGGCGGCGGGGGGGGGGTCCAGGCCTCCCAGGTGCCGGGGGCGGCCAAGAGGGAGGTGAGGACTAGGGAGATCCAGGGCTCCCAGGTGTCGGGGGCGGCCCAGAGAGAGGTGATGACTGGGGGGGGATCTCGTGGCGGGGGCCATGATATCTCGCCAGATTTCATGGCGCCTCTTCGGATTCCATTACGTCCACTGCCTCCTCCCATGAGCCGCGCACCTGCTTCAGGCCATGATTTGCGAACCCCCTCTTGGACGGCCCCCTCTTGGGCGCCCCGAATGAGAAGGATCCAGGACTCCCATGTGTCTCGAGGAATCCGCAACCTTTTGGCTCAAGGCTCGTTCTTGCACAGACGATCATCTCCCGCGCCACTCTCAGCTGGAAGTGCTTGCGCGCTCTCCAGAGATGGTTGCGTACGAGTGCATGGCCCTAGTGCTCGCAGCCTACCGCGTGGAGGCAGTATGGGAGGTGCGGCTTATCTGGCCCTACGCGTGTGGCGAGGGGCTGGGCAAATTCCATCGCCCCGTTGTGCTGACACTGCTCAGCACCGTGATCGGGCTGGTGCACGTCAGCGCCGAGCTGCTGGCGGACTTCCCGCAGAACCGCCTGCTCGGCGAGGCAGGTGTGCCTCCCATTGTGTACAACTCCACCGCAAGCAACGCGATGGTGATCGCGCCCGCGTTCTAGGGACACTGCGTCGCAGGCATCCCCCTCTTTGAACTCAGCCTCGTGGTGGCTCCGGCTTCGAGACGCCTCTGTTCGAGTTCGCTGCTGCGGGGTTCTTGTACACTCTCGTCGTCGAGGAGCTCGCAGCGGGCAAGCGCGATACGTCTCAAGATAGCCAACGCGTGGAAGGTGGTGCTGATCACGGCCGCGGTGATGATGTTCAGCATGGTGGGAGTCGTGTTTACGCCAGCATGTTTTCTCTCTGCGAGAAGCGCTTGAACATGAACCGCGACCTTCTGGGCTACGCTCTCGCTCCCGAAGGCTACCCGTTCACGTCTGAGGAGCGCGACCGCCGTTCGCTGGGCCAGCTGGTGCACTCAGGCGTGCCTGCCGCGGGCAGCTTGCGCTGGGTTAGCTGGATTATGTTGTCCCGTTTGATTCGGAAGCTGACTCATTTGATCCCACACGTTTCCGACACTTCGAGCGTGGTCTCGAACACAAGAGCGGTGGTGAGGGTCGCCTGGGTGCCCTTGCTGCTCGAGGTCGTGGGATTGATATGCTCGGTCGTCGCATTTGTGGCGCAGCAGTTCCTTGACAGGAACGAGGACCAGATCGTACGTCTTGCTGCATGGCTCGGCAGAGTTGGCCGCACTGCTCGAAGACAGCGGCCAGGGCAAGGATGCGAGCGAGGCGGCGAAGGAGCTGCTGCGTAAAGGGCTCGCCGAATGCCGTGGAGTCCTGCTGAGTCAGCTCGGGCAAGACGCGTTCATCCCCGGCGACACGAGCGCGGAGTTTTCCGGAGCAGTTGAGGCGATCAGTGCGGGGCCCAAGACCGTCAAGTACCAGAGCCCGTAATTCTTCGTAAGCCATAGCTGGCGGGACAGTCCATAGGATAAGTACGAGGCGGTGCGGCAAGTGTGCACCGCGTGGACCGACAAGTATTGCCTAGACCAGCAGCTCATCCAGCAGGCGCTCAGGTATCTGCCAGTTTTCGTCAACGCCGCGATGCAGCGACTCGTCTTGCACGGGCCTTCGTACTTCAGCAGGATGTGGTGCATGTGGGAGCTCTACGTGATGACAGTCTCCGACCCGTAGTTAAACAGCGTTCTGTTCTGGTCCGTTCAGGGCCACGGCACCACCCGTCTCGAATCCGAGCTGGGCGACTTCGGTGTCCGAGAGGTGGACTGCGATCGCACCGAGTACAAGGAGAAGATCCCCGCCACGACTAAGTCAGGCCTGTCCCTCTACAGGGGGAATATTCAAAAATAGTCCAAAATAGTCTGGGGACGATTTTTTGATTTTTTTGTTTGAATATTTGGAGGGTATCGCCCTGTAGGGGGACACGCCCGACTTAACGCCACGATCGGTTCCCAGCGGGGAGGCGCGCAGGCTTTTAGCACAACGAGCCGGGAGGTGCCGCTCGGCATGTCGCTCCTCCGGCGCCGCGCGCGGTGGCGCCGCGCCTCCGCGAGGCAAAGCGCGGTCCCGCCGACCGCGCTCGGCCCCTCGGCGGAGGCCGCGCCCTGCTCGGGCCGGACGAAAGGGGGGGATAGGGAAAGGGGGGATGACGAAATCTGCTGCGTGCAGCTGGTTACGACCCCGCCGCCAAGCCCATTCCTCGATACATGGGCGCCTCCCGGCGCCGGGAGGCGCCGGGAAACTCAGCCACGTGAGCAGATTCTCCCCCCCCCCCCTTTGCTACCCCCCCCTTTCGCCCGGCCCGATCGGCGGAGGCCATGCCCTTCGCGAATCCTTAAGACACGCCAGAGAACACGGTGGAGGTATGAAAGCAGACGATCTTGCACACACTTTCCCAGGCCGGCACGTCAGGTGTTGCCCGATGGTTCGGGTGCGGTCGATGGCGAGCCAATTGTGCCAAGTTTGTCATGTTTGCGTTCCCCTTACAAACCTGCATGCATGCATGCAGGATCATAGCGGAATATCTGTTCGCACGAGTAAGGTTCAACATGGAACAAGTTGTTCGTCATCTACTGTAGCGGCTTATCGTTCTTGCAGGTTTTCGGACCTGCAATGGTTTGGGCTGGTTTAGGCTTCTGGCTACATGGCGTCGGACGAAGGCTGTAGCCGGCATGACCTGTGCTGCCGTTGTATGGAACGGAAGCCACTCGCGCTCCCAGTGCAGTTTTCGTCCGTGTTCAGCTCCTGTTCCGCTTGTGCCCGCGTCGCCGAGGCCGCCACTGGGGCTGGCCAGAAGAGCCAACTACCCCACACGGACCCGCAGCGCCTCATTTGTCACTCCTTCCCCCTCGTCATCCACTCTCTCTCCTCTCCCTCCCCTCCTCCCGCGCCGCTTCGCGGTTCCAGCCAAGAGCTCGAGCTGCAGAAGGCAGGTCCAGTGCGAGATGCTCCCTCTGCGTGGCTGCCGCCACGCCGCGGGGGGGTCCCCCCCCCCCCGGTCCCAGCTCTTCCCCGCCCTGCCTCGGCCCCTCGAGGCGCGCACGGGGCGTGGGGGCTCCAGTCCGCCCTGGCCGCGCCGCTCCTCCGCTCCCTCGGCGGCCATAGGGGAACAACATCATCCCAGTGCGACCCTACCTAGGAGTTGGAGCCTCTAGGGAAGCAACATTAGTACGTGCGCGCACACATATAAGTATATATATATATATATATATATATATATAGCTATATAATATATAATATATATATATATAGCAGCAGCAGCAGCAGCAGCAGCAGCAGCAGCAGCAGCACAGCAGCACTGCTGGCCATAGGGGAACAAAACAAATAGCATAGACATAACAACTCGGAGGTCCGCGCGGATTTCTCGGATCCGCCCTGGACCCCCCCCCCGGCGGCGCCTCCGGCGCCGCCCCTGGCGCGCCCCGCGCGCCAGGGAGGGGCCCCCAGCGTGGATCCGAGAAATCCGCGCGGACCTCCGAGTTGTTCTGTTTATGCCACTTTTTGTTCCCCTGTGTACGGCCCTCCTCTTCCAGAAACCCGCTCTGCACCTGGATGCCGCGGTGGGCCCCTTGCGGGGCGGGCGCCCGATCCCGACGGCTCGCTGGCCGTCCTTTCGTTGTGCCCCGCGTGCGGTCGCCCGCGCTCGCGCCCAGCGCCTGTGACCCCCTCGCTGCCGCACGGTGTGGCGTGCCACGGGTGCGGGCCGAGGCCTGGAGAGGGCAGGAGAGCGGCTAGGTGGACCTCACAGAGCGAATGAGTTACTAGGGGAACAGAAAGTGGCATAAACATAACAACTCGGAGGTCCGCGCGGATTTCTCGGATCGGCGCTGGGGCCACGATCTGAGAGATGCGGCCCAATGCTCGCCAGAGTGCACCCCGGGGGCAAATGCCGCTGCAGGCCCACGCCCTCGGGTGCGCAGGGCAGGGGGCGCCAGGCCGAGCAGCGGCGCGCCCGACCGTGGCCCTCGAGTGGGCTCGCGGGAGGCAGCACCCTGGGGGCCGGCCACCCCTGGGGCCAGAAAATTATTCCTCCTCCTCCTTTTCCTCCTCCTCCTCCTCCTTTTCCTCCTCCTCCTCCTCCTTTTCCTCCTGCTCCTCCTTCCTCTCCTCCTCCTTCTCCTCCTCCTCCGTAGCCATTTGGGCTCAAGGTTTTGAGTTGGCTGTGCCGACGCATGGAGGCCGCTAGTCCGCGGACTGCTCTCGTGCATACTCGAGGCGTGGGCGCCTCGTTTATCGAACGCCTTCCCACTTCGCGCCCCGCATGGCAGACCTCCTCCCTGCAGCGCCCGACCACACGCTGCGCAGAGGGCGCATCTCGAAACGCAAGACTCATGGCGATGGTGCTGGCGCTGCTGCTGGTACTGCTCCTGGCTCCAGAGGTGACCGCTCGCGGACACCACCCCCAAATGAAGAGGTCGACCTGGACGCCCTCGCCACCATGGCCTACGACCAGACCCTCCAGTGCAGCATGGAGAGCGCCAGCAAAGAGTCTATCAACTCCACCGTCTCCACGGCGGTGTGCGACGCCACGGGCCCCATCACCGCCGCCTTGCAGGCCGCTCAGGCTGGGATCAATGGTCTGTCGGGCAAGATCGAGAAGGACATCAACCTCGCAGTCGGCCAGCGCATCGACGCCACGCGCAAGGAATTCCAGCAGCAGCTCGAAATCTTCAACGCTCGGGTCGGCGAGCTGGAATCCAGGCACGACAAGACCGACGCCTCGATCGCAGCGATGGCAGACCAGATCAGGGAACTCCAGCAGGCGCTGGAGGTCGCGAACAAGCAGCCAGTGCAGAGCCAGTTCATCAACCGCGACTTCGACAGGGAGATCGACACCACGGTTCACGCCGACGGCCTCGTCACGCTCGAGAAAGCGATGGAGGCCCTCACCAAATGGATCACAGAGTGCAACGTCAAAGAGTCAGATTTCAAAGTCCAAGGGAACCCCACCTCACGGTTCTTCACGGTCCAGTTCCTGGGCCCCCCTGGGCCCGCCCCCAGGAGAGTCCAGAAAGTCCTCGACAGCCTGCGCGACCGCAACGGCAACTGGACTCGCATCCATGCCGCAGCTGGCGCAGGTCAAGGGCAGGTCGAGCTGCGCGCCGGCCCCGACAAGTCGCCCAAGCAGATCAAGATCGAGATCACAGGCAAGCGCATCAGGCAGGCCCTCGAGCGTGACTTCCCGAACCACACCTGGCGGGTCGACCGCGTCAAGGGTTGGGTCCTCGCTGGCTGGGCTCCAGTCATCTCCTTCTCCGTCCGACCTGGCTGCGACGAGCCCCCCGTGCTCTCCTACCAGGACGCCGGCCTCCCCGCCCTCGGCATCGACCGCGCGCAGCTCAAGGCCTCCGCCAGTGCTGCAGTCGCCCCCGAGGCCGCGCCCCAGTTGTGGCTTTGACGAGATCGCGGCGGGTTTGAAGAAATCCTCCTGCGGACCCTCCCCGAGCTTGGTCGCTGGCACATGGAGCGCCCGTGCGCTCCTAGGCTACCAAGGCCGAAGAGTCACCGAGAAGACCACGTATCTCCAGACCCCCCCCCCTCAGCAAGATGATCCTGGCCATTCAAGAGGTGCACCGGGACCACGCGCAGCTCTGCGCCTTCATGAAGAAGATCAACAACACGCTGGCCATGCACTCCTCCTTCGCCCCTGGCCACCACGGCATGATCGGCGGCGGAGTCGCCATCATCTTCCCTGCAGGCCTCCACGCCGAGAGTGAATCTCTCCTCCCTGGGCGGGTCCTCCGCGCCTCCTTTCGCACCAACAACCAGCAGCTGATCTTCCACAATATCCACAACTACGAGATCAGCAGCGCCGCCATCAAACGCATCTCCACCCGCATCCTCAGTGGCCAGCACGTCGCCAGGACAGACCCGAGCGAGGTGATCCTCTTCGTCCTGGGGGACTTCAACTTCGCTGCCGTCGGGAAGCTCAAGCTCACGGAACCTGAATCCAGAGCCAACACCGAGGCCTCTGAATCGCCCAAAGCATCGCCGCGCAAATGGCACGGCGCGCTGAAGCGCCTGGTCGAGATCGAGGGAACAGACACCACCCACTACTGCGCTGAGACGAAGTCCGAGTCCACGATTGACCGTTGCTTCTGTTCCATCACGCCTACGCAGATGCTGCAGCTGACAGTCAACTCCACTACCTTCTCCACCCCTGAGGACCTCTCACGCCGCCACGTTAGCGACCACGCCGCCCTCCTCGTCTCCTTCACCATGCGCGACGCCAAGCCAGCCAAGAACCAGCCTATCGCCCAGTGCATCGTGCAGTCCCCCATCTTCAAGAAGATCGCCGATAGCGTCTTCGAGGCGACTGACATGGGCCGCCTGTCACCGCCGTCCAAGTTCATCCTGACCACTGAGCTGCCCCGCGAGATCGTGAGGGAAGCCAGGGACCACATGCTCGAGACCTCCCCGAACCGCGGTGATGTTCAGCTCCAGATCGCCAAGTCCATCGCCCGCGCCGTGTGGCGCCAGGGCCGCAAGCTCGCCGCCCGCCTGCTCCGTGTTCACCAGGCTGCCCAGGACCACTTGGCACTCGTCGGTGAACAAGTCAAGCTAATCGACCCTGTCAAGTTTGAGGAGTGGGCCAGCAACCTCTTCCGCCAGGACGCTGACCAGAGGCAAGCAGCCACCAACCACGCCACTCTGCGCGGGCGCCTGCGCCCCGCGCAGGCCCGCGTGCAATCGCACGCTCTGGAACCCGATCAGCAAGAGGCTCGCCCTGACAGGCGCCAAGACCAGCGTCGGCACCGTGATGGGGCCGAAAGACAGATTGCAGAAGTTGGTGGAGCACTGGCAACCAGTCTTCGAGGGCAAGCAGATCGACCTGGACAGAGCTGCCGACGACCTCTCCCAATTCTCGCCCAAGATCAACTTCAACAACTTTAACCCGCCCGGCTACGAGACCCTCAAAAAGTCCGCCTCCCGTTCCTCCTCTACCTCACCTGGGATGGATGGGCTTCCGTACACCGCCTGGGCCGCCCACGAGAAGTGCACCCGAGACCCTCTGGGATGTCATGTGCTACATGCTCAACGGGGGCATCCTCCCCGACGAATGCCATGCCACGGTCCAGGCCTTCCCCCCCAAGGGTGGCGAGCCCGAGGACGCGGAACACAGCGGCTGCCACCGTGACCCCTCGAAAGCTCCGCAACGCATGTGTGGAATTCATCAGCGGCACCATGAGCGCTGCGACTGCCACGGTAGCAGCCGAGGTGGTCCCAGCCTCACAGCCCGGATTCATCCACCGCCGCAACTTCGGCTACAACGTCCTAGAGCTCGACGTCGAGAGCCGCATCGCGTCCGCCGATCCCAACGCGATGGACGTGCTGCCCGTGCTCGTGTCGCTGGACATCGCCCAGGCGTTCCCCGGCTTCGCACGCCAGTTCATCCGCTACGCGCTTAAGGCCATGGGCGCACCTGAGGCGATCCTCAACTTTTTCGACTCAATGTACCACAATATACTGGCCATGGCACCCTGCGCAGGCCAGTACATCCCCCTGTTCTACGTACGCTCGGGCATCATCCAAGGATGCGGATGGAGCGGCACCCTCTACGCGATGGGCACAGCAAGCTTTCCCCTGAACCTTGAAATGGTGCTGGAGGACCAAGGGCGCGGCCTCTGCCGTGCCTGTGCTGACGACCTGGGGCTCGTGCTCAAGGCGGCCGCCCACCTCGCCCACCTGGCCGATGTCATGATTCTAATGAACGTGCTCGCGGGGCTCACGCTGAAGGCCCCGAAGTGCCACATCATCCCCCTCGCGGGTGAGGCCAACGCCGAGCTCATCCTCAAGCTTCGCAACGCGCTGATCGCAATCGTCCTGCGCTTCAAGGACTTCCTTATCTGCGACCGCCTCACCTACCTCGGGCTACTGCTCGGACCTGGGGCGACGGAGAAGCTGATCTGCGAGAAAGCATTCAACAAGTTCAAATGACGAGCCAAGATGTTCAGCGCCAGTGACGCTCCGTCCATGGGCGCAGCCGCTCTCTTCAATAGCCCTGCGATTCCTGTCCTCGGCTACCTCGCCCAGTTCGCTATGCTGCCGCACGAGTACTTCAAGAGTGAGAACTGGATCAACGCCTCGGTCCTGCGGTTCCCCAACGGTGCCTTCAGGATCGAAGACTGGCCCCACCTTACAGCGTGGGGCGTCCACGCCCCGCGTTCGCTCCAGCTCACGATGGTGATGAGGGATGAGGGAGGAGGCAGGGTGGAGGAGGAGGAGGAGGAGAAGGAGGAGGACCAGCACCAGCAGGAGGAGGAGGAACAGTTGGAGGAGGAGGAGGAGGAGGAGGAGGAGGAGGAGGAAGAGGAGGAGGAGGGAAGGCGGAGGAGGAGGAGGGAGGAGAATGGAGGAGGGAGGAGGGAGGGAGCAGGGAGGAGGGAGGATCAAGGAGGACGAGAGCTGAGCATCAGCAGCAGGGCCTTGCCCAGAGGGGACGAGGTCGAGGGCGCCTGCCGGTGGCGGGCGCCTCCGCGCGCGGATCTCCCGGCAGGTCGGCAGCTTGCACCGCGCTGCGGAGTGGATCCTCAGGGACGACCTCTGGAAGGAGGACTCCTGCTGCTGCTGCCCCCTTCCCTTCTCACATGTTTCCCCTCCTTGCCCCCCCTCCCCTCCCTGCCGCTCCTGTCCGCCTCCTCTCGTCGCCCACTGCGGCGGGGGACGCGGTTTATCGCGCGAAACGCGTGCTTCTTGAGGAAGATACCTTTCCGCCTGAGTCCCACTGCGGTTTTGAGTCATGCAAGAGTCGATGGATCTTGCCGAACGCTCCCTGTCCTGTCCTGCCCTGACCTGTCCTGTCCTCCTCGTGCGTGTAAGCGCCCCCCTTCTTCCAGGAAAAGCAGGCTGGGCCGCTGAAGCTCCAGCACAATGAAGAAGCTACGTAGACATTAGCTTTCGTCGGTCCGCGTGGATTTCCTGGATCAGCGTTGTGCCCCCCTCCTGGCGGCGCCATGGGCGCCGCCACAGGTGCGCTCCGCGCGCCAGGGAGGGGGGCCCAGCGCCGATCCGGGAAATCCGCGCGGACATCTGCAAGCCTGTGGTGATGCAGTGTCTTGTTCCTCTGCTCCGCCCCCCTCCTCCTCCTCCCTCTCCTGTCTCTCCTTCCTCCTCCTCCTCCCTCTCCCTTCCTCCTCCTCCTCCTCCTCCTCCTCCTCCTCCTCCTCCTCCTCCTCTCCTACCTCCTCCTCCCTCTCCCTCCTCCTCCTCCTCCCTCCTCCTCTCCCTCCTCCCCCTCCTCCTCCTCTCCCTCCTCCCCCTCCTCCCCCTCCTCCTTCGTGCCCGCACCTGCTGACGGCGAGGAGGCCTCTGTCCTCGGAGGCGGGATGCCGATCCCCAGGGGCAGAGGCTCGCCGCGCGAGGGAGGGCGGAGAACCCGTGGACCCACGCTGTTTTCGCCCTCCTTCGACGCGTGCAGTCGAGTTTGAGTAGCAGTTCGGCCCTGGCCAGTCTCAGGAGGGGAAAAAACACACAGACACAATTAATCGTCGACTCCCAGGAAACTATAGGAAAATATGGGGATTGGGGGGGCAGACGAAAACCCTAAAAATATGTGTAAATATGGGGAATATGTTTATTTGTGTGTATTTATTGAATCGCTTCGCTCATTCCGCCGGCCCATAGTGTAGCGTCGCTGGCACTTGCTTGCGTGCTCGGGGGGGCATTTGGGTGGCCTCCTGGGGCCGCTTGGGGGCCTCTTGGGGGCCTCCTGAGGGCCTGTTGGGGGCCTCTTGGGGCCTCTTAGGGGCCTCTTGGGGCCTCCTGGGGACTTCTGAGGGCCGAGGGCTCGAAATATTGTTTCGTGTTCCCCCCCTGGGGTCCCTCTTGGGGCGTTCTTGGGGCCCTCTTGGGCCGTCTTGGAGGCCTCTTGGGCCGTCTTGGAGCCCTCTTGGGCCGTCTTGGGGCCCTCTTGGGGGCCTCTTGGGCCCTCTTGGGGCGGTCTTGGGGGCCTCTTGGGCCGTCTTGGGGTGTCGTGAAGCCGAAAAGGTGGAAACGCCAAAATCTCTCCAAAACCTAAGGAAAAGCAGTGAATTTTGCCTCTTGGGGCCCTCTCGGGAGTGCTCTTGGAGGCCTCTTGGGGCGTCTGGGGGCCATCGTGGGCGTCTTGGAGCGATCTTGTGGCATCTCGGACCCCTCATGTAGCATCTTGGGGGCCTCTTGGAAGCCTCTTGGCCCTTCTTGGGGCTCTCGGGGACGTCTCGGAGCCGCGTTGGTGCGCTGCTGGAGCGCCCTGGTGACTCCTCCCGGGACTCTCTCGGGACCTTGCCGGGGTACTTTCCGCCCGGGGGCCCCCAGGGGCCGCCCCGCGCGCGCGAAGTAGAAAGATTGTAAAGCAGTCACCGGAGATCTTAGCACGCCTCTGGCCCGTTGGGCCGGCGAATTTGTGTGTCCTGGGGCCCCTTCAAAGTCAAGGGTGCCCTCCTGTCCCGTGTTTCGCGACCCGTGGTTTTCTACATTCCGATGGCGCTGTGGCCCGCGTAATAGCGTCCTGTGTCCTCTCCGCGTGTCCTCTCCCGTCGCACTCAGCTGGAAGCCCCACCCCGGCGTTTCAGCGCTATCCACGCCCCCCTCTCAGAGCGTCCCCGAGCCTTTCCCCAGCCTCCCGCCCCGCAGAGCGGAGCGACACGCCATCCGCTCGCAGGTCACGGCGCGTCGCTGGGGCCGCCGCCGCGACGCGCAGGCTGCTGGAGCACCAGCCCACGCGAAGCAGAAGTTCCCGACAGCACTGAGCTGGCCGCTGGAGCTCTGCAGGCAGACCGCACGCAGCGCCAGACCCGCCCGCCCGGGCACGGAGGTTGAGCACCGCCCGCGGCATGCTGTGGCCGAGGCCAGCGCCCCGTCCGCGGCGGCGCCGGAGGCGCCCCAGGGCGCCCGCGGCGCCCCGGGAGGCCTCGCGGGCGCAAGGCCTCCTGCGGACGCCCGAGCCGCCCGGCAGAGCGGTCATCGGCCTCGCCTCCGCCGTGTGCGTGCTCCGTCCTGCCTCTGCGGTCGGGGACTTTTGGGCGGCGTGTCGCTCCGTTGGTTCTGGCACAGCACGCTTCGGCGCGACACGCCATCCACGCCCCAGCCACCAGGCGTCAATGTCTCGCGTTTTTCCCAGCCTCCCGCCCCGCGGAGCGGAGCCAGACACTCTCCGCTCGCAAGGCATAGCGTGTCGCCAGGGCCGCCGTGGCGACACGCTACACAAGAGATCCTGACCGTAGGCCTCCCAAATGGGGTCCTAGTAGACTGGGTCGGAGGATCGCGCCGCATCGCCGATGCATCGGCGATGCGGCTCGATGCGGAGCCCGATTTTCTCCACACCGACGGCGCCGATGCAACTCCGACGTCGCCGACGCTTCGCCGATGCATCGCCGATGCATCGTCGACGACGCATTGGCGATGCATTGGCGATGCGGCGCGATCTTCCGAGCCCATCTACTCGGACTCCGTCTCGGAGGCCTTTGGTGTTCCTTCTCCTGCAGCCGTGGCCCCCAGCCAGCTGGAACTTGAGCACGTGCCAAGCTTGCGCAACGGCTCCTCTGCCAATCGAGCTGCCGATGGGGTTGGTGCTGCCACGCGGCTCTGCACGAGCGGTTTTACCTCTGACCACCGGGCAGCCGAAACGAATTGATCTTACCTGCAGCCCTCGGAGCGAATTTGTTGGCCGAGCTCCTGGTTCATGGCCCGGGAGACCCCGGCCTGTGAGGACAAGATGTGATGAGACGGGGCGGGAAAGGAAAAGGGGGGAGACCTTGAAACGACGACGGGCCTTGTATAGGCATGTTTCAAGTGTGCCACGAGAGCAGGACAGTGGGCAGGCAAGGTAGCAGCTGGCGCGGGGGACGGTCTCGCCACTATGGCACCCCTGAGAACCGCCACAGCAGTGGTGCTGGGCGCAAGGATCAGGAAGATGGGGAGGCGGAGAGGTAGAAGAGGGGAGGAGCGGGGAGGGACAGCAGGGTTGGCGCAACATCTGGGACTTGCACGGTAACGTCGTATGTTCGAGATCTTAGCCCTCGCTCCATGTCGTGCTCCCCGACCGCCTCTCGTCCGCCCTGTCGTTCGTCATCCCCCCGCGGCGGTGCCATGAGGACGCTGAGCTGACAGCCACGCAGATGATGATGCTGCAGCACAAGACGGCCAAACGCTGAGCGTTTTGATACGCTGGCCACTACAGAATGGCAGTCACACCTCGAGCCTCCCGCTGCTTGGCGACGTGCGCGTGGATAGTGTCGGCAGGCGCCACCTATACACGGTCCTATCCGGTCACCCTTAGGGTCATGAGGAAGTTGGGGCGATGGCGTGCAGGTTTCGCATTGCGATTGGCTTCGCATCGGATTCGCAATGCCAATGTGTCTGTTCCTCCCGCTCTTCTGACAGTTTCGTTTATCTTCGCCGGTTTTAGCTTGCCGTGGCGATGGTGATGGTGGTGGTGATGATAGTTCTGGCGACGGCGGTGGTGATCGCGTTGGCCGTGGGAGCTACAATACGACGGCCTGGTGTTCTAGCCCTGCTTACTCAGGGACAGCCATAACCACAACGGCACGACCCCAGGATGCCGAGGATAGCCCTGTGGCCTCAGGCCTTCCGCCCCGCTGCGTTGCCTGTCCCCCGTCCGAGCTCGGGGCCGTGGCTCGTGCCACCTGCCCCTCGCGACCTTGCCACGCGCGGCTGAACACACCTCAGGCGTCGGCAGAGCCCCCAGGAGGTGCTATGTCGTGGTGGTGTCTGCACCTTCTTCCCCCCCCCCCCCCACACACACACACACACACTCACAAAAAAAAACAGCCCTGTGGCTTCGGGCCGCCCACGGAACAACCGCCGGATAGCCTCGGGGTCACTCCGGGACTATCCAGGGTGCCGCACGCTGGGCACGGGTGCCGCGCCCCCAGCGTGGGCGGGCTCCCTCTCGCCCCCGCGCGCCCGCGGATCGCTCGCTCGCGCGCGCGCGGCACGAGCCGAAACGAACACCGATATCGCCATCCACCGCAGAGCCCCCCACGCAAGGTCAGCTAGCACGGGGAAGCCCGTCGGCAGTGCTCCGCGCGCTTGTGAGGCCGAGTGGTGATGTACCGCGCAGTGTGCGTTCTTTCCCGTTGTCACCACCCCTCCCTCTCCCCTCCCCCTCCCCTCCTGCAGCGCAGCCTCCCCCGTGCACTAACACGCAGGTGTAGCCACCTCTCTGCCCGACGTCTGTGGCCATTTCGGTTCAGGCGGTCGGCCGGTTTTGAACAACGGTTGGGCGCAGATGCTGGCCCTTGGGCCGTGCGCCCTCGACGCCGCGCGGGGGCGGGTCAGCAACGTCCTGGGCTCCCCGGCTCGCGTCTGGCGCTGCAGGCGGGCGAGCCCGAGTTCGAGGAAACACTCGTACAGGTGGCAGCGGCCGCGGACCTCAGTGTGGAGAAGGCACGGATCCCGTTGCAGGAGCTCGTCGACCAGACGGTGGATTCCGAGGTACCGTTGCAGAAGCGGCTGCGAGCGCTCTACGGCCGCCCCGAGCAAGCCATGCTGGAGGACGCCGTGATGAGTCTGTTGGCCGTGCGTGATCAGGAACAGCTTGAAGCTGTTCCCCCGCCAGGGGCCCGTGCGCTAGCAGGAACACGGTGTGCGCGGAGGTGCCGCGTTGCTGCCGAGGAGTCGCGGCGAGCTGGAGGCCCGAGAGTGGGCTCGTCGCTGGGGGCCCCGCTTGCTCCAATTTGCTCGGCTAGATGGAGGCGCCCTCGCTGGAGGTGGCGCGGTCCTGCATGGACCCGGAGCGGGCGCTGGATGCACCTCGGGCCTCGCGCGCCTCAACACAGTGAGGTCGCACGCGCGTGCGGGCGAGACGCTGCGCCGAGGACTCTTGCGCGCGCGCGCAGCATCCCATGGCGGAAGACGCTCGTGCACTTCATCGGCTACGTGCACGCCAGTGCTGCTGGGCCTTGTGGGCCGACGGTGCCCAACCAGGCCCTCCGCGCCCTGCCTTGGGCCGAGCGCGCGGCGGGCTTCGACCCGAGCGCAAGGCTGTCCGCCTGGCCGGAAGTCCAAAAGGTCGTCGCGAACACGGAAATGCTCCTCGGCGCCGGCAACGGCCCGACGATGAGGGTGGCCCGATGCGCCGGTGCGTTCATCGGGGCCTTGGAGCAGCTGGTGGCGGACGATCGCCTCGCGATTTGCCTGCGCGTGGTGTCGTGGCTTCGCCTGGGCACGGTCTGGGCGGTGCCGCGCTTCGACGACCGCGGCTGGCTCCCACCTTGGCGCGTCGCCTTCGCAGACGGCGATCTGACGGCCACGCTTTACGTCCGAAGGCCAGCGGTGCAAGGCGCAGGATGCCGGAGCTGCCGCTGGTGGTATCCTGCGATTGCTACATGCGGGTCCCGTCGTGGATAAAGACGGGCTTCCGCATGCATTTGGCAGGGGGGCGCGAACTTCGATCTCTTCTTACCGCGGCGCGACGACGCCAGCCAGGAAGTGACCTTCAAGCCCGCGGGCTACGCCGAAGCGGCGGTGGCTGAGGTGCCCTGGATGATGCTGGCGCCTGCCTTGGCGGGCGATGTCGCGGAGCCCCTCTTTCTCGAGGAGGTCGCGGGCTTCTGGGCGGAACGCCCGAGCGATCGACGATCCCATCGCCATTGTTGGCGAGGGGGACCTGGAAGAGCGAGTGCGACTCTCTGGGCGGGTGGTCGCCAGAGTGCGCGGGCACCTGCGGAAGGACGTGCCGCGCCGTCGTCTCGGGCCGCAGCAGCAGTTCGCAGTGGTGCTGCGCCCGGGCAAGGCCTTCGTGGAGCTGGGCCCTGCCCTGGCTGCCAGCCTGGGGCGGGCGACCCTCCCCGCGGGGTGGGGCACAGAGGGGGGGCGCCCAGGCCGAGAGGGGGCGGCAAAGGGGATGCTGGGCTCCCCGACGCTCGCTCCGTCCGGGGGGGGGGGGGGGGAGGCCCGACCGAGGTCCGCCTCCTCACGCGCGGGTCTCCTCCTCCGCCGGGCGGCCTCCAGCCCGTCGCACGGGGCAGGCATCCAGAGTCCCTGGGAGTGGCATGGGGTCCTGCGCCGGGGCCCCCCCGGGACCGCCACTCATGAAAGAGGCCTCTCCGTCATCGTCCCTCCTCCTCCTCCCTCCTCCTCCCTTCTCCTCCTCCCTCCTCCTCCTCCTCCTCCTCCTCCTCCTCCTCCCTCCTCCTCCTCCTCCTCCTCCTCCTCCTCCCCTCCTCCTCCTCCTCCTCCTCCTCCTCCTCCTCCTCCTCCTCCTCCTCCTTGCTTTTCTTTAACCGCAGTCGCACCGCTCTGCGGGTTCGTCGAGGAGGCGCCCCCGTGTGCCAGCACGTGCGTGTACACATTGCGCATGTCAAATTATCCGAACGTTCTTTGATTTCCTGGGGGGCCAAAATCCTTCCATTCCTGATTGCTCTATCCTGGGCCTCTTCCTGGCCCCAGGGGGCCAGGAACAATTAGAAACGAGCACAATTAGAAATGAGCGCGATTAGAAATGAACGACGTGTATCTTCTCCTCTGCCCATCGTCAGTGGCCATTTGGGCTCCGGCGTTCGACCGGCAACCCGCCCACCACCCCGGGGTCTCAAGTTGTCGGGAATGGCAGAAGCCCTCCGCCAGGGCCCCCCGGGATCGCCGCCCATCAGGGAGGGATCTCCGTCGTCTCCTGCCCCTTCTTGGGTTATCGCCATCGCACCGCTGCTGGGGCCCGTCGAGGATGCCGAACGATATTTTTTGCGGCTCGCAGTTTCGCATGCCAGCGCGTGCTCCGCACGGTTGCCGAGACCTGTTCGACCAACGTAACGAAACCTATCTCCTCGCCCCATCATCGGGAGGGGTGGAGGTCCGCAGTCCGGGGGTAGAGGGGGAGGGGCGGGGCGGTCCGGGGCGCCCTGTATCCCCCCCCTGACATCCGACGACGGCCCCAGCCTCGCCGACCCTGGGCCCACGGTGGGCCTGGTTCGGTAGCAAATCGTGGGAAGTTTGTGTGGCGTCGAGACTCCCAGATCACCCCAAAGGGGCGCGAAAATGAAAGCGTTTCGCGCGTCGCGGCCACGGCCGATGGGCAATCCTTTTCTGGGGGCGACGCGAGGGCGCGAAGATAACCACGCATCGCGGGGCGCGATGCGTGACGTTAGGTGGCGCAAGCGTCTGATAATCGATGCGACGCCGTCGACACAGCGTTGAACGGCGTCGACCAGCGTCGATTCGGGATCGACTAGCGTCGGTTAGCATCGATTCGCTTCAATCAACGTCGATCTGGAAGAGCCAGCAAGATGACATGGGAGGTTCCCATGAGTTGCCACCGAAGCCTGGCAAGGGTCGATGTGCGTGTATAGTTGGCGCCCTCTTCATGGATAAGGTCGGGGGCGTCCAAGAGTGGGGCGTGGAAAAGGGGGGGTGGCAAATCATGGCCAGAGGCGTGTGCGCAGACGAGGGGAGGAGTCCAGGGAGCTAACTGAGAAAAATGTGGGCCTTGTCGTCTGGGAGATAGCATGGCCCCGGCCATGATACACACACACACACACACTCACACCTACCCCCCTCCCCCCGACCGCTTCCCCCACGCACACACACACACCACAAACACACACACACACACACGCACACACACACACCACAACACACCCACACCCACAACCACACCCCATACCCCACGCCCCTCACCCCACACACCACAACACACAACACACAAGACACAACACGCGCAACACGCAGCACATAGAACACAACGCACGATACACAACACAACACACACATTACGCAATACACAACACACAACACACAACACACCGCACATAACGCACAGCACACAGCACACAACAAACACACAACGCATCACACACAGAGCACACACGGCACAACACACAACACACAACGCACAACATACAACACACAACGCACAACACATAACACCCAGCACACAAGGCACGACACATAACACACAACACACGGCATACAACTCACAACACATAACATTTATAACACACCACACACCACACACAACACACAACACACAGCACACAACGCACAATACACAACACACAACACACAACACACAGCACATAACACACAGCACACAGCACACAGCACACAACACACAGCACACAGCACACAGCACACAACACACAATATAC